ACAGGTCACAGATTTTCTTTTTCTTTTCAAAAATTCTTTTTTTCTATTTCATTTTGGATAATTTCTACTGCTATGTTTTCAAGGTCAGTAATATTCTTTCTACAGTGTCTAATCTGGTATTAATTCCCATCTGGTAGAGCTTCTATCTCTACAAGTTCACTTCAGGTGATTTAAAAAATATCCTCCACGTATCTACTTAACTTTTTAAAGATAAAGAATATAGTTATAATAATTGTTTTAATGTCCTTGTTTTCTAATTCTAACATCTGTATCTTTTTTTTAATGTCTGATCTTATTTATTTGTTACTCTTAGAACATCTCGTTTTTTTTTTTTTTTTTTTTTTTTTTGCGATATGTGGGCCTCTCACTGTCGTGGCCTTTCCCGTTGCCGGATGCGCAAGCTCAGCGCCCATGGCTCACGGGCCCAGCCGCTCCGCGGCATGTGGGATCCTCCCGGACCGGGGCACGAACCCGTATCCCCTGCATCAGCAGGCGGACTCTCAACCACTGCGCCACCAGGGAGGCCCAACATCTCGTTTTTGACTGGACTCAGACTTAGAAGTAGAAGCTCTCAGAGAGGACAGCCTCCAACTCTTGGCAATCTGTTCCTGGCGTTTTTCTTTGGCCTCCTTCATCCTCTTGGCCCAAAGTTTAGCATATTCTGCAGCCTCTTCCTTATTTTTCATAGTGCACTGTTTCTTCAGAGCAATACATTGTTTGTCTTGCAGAACACGTGGAGTAACAAGATGCTGAATCTTGGGTGCTTTGGTCCTAGGTTTCTTACCTTCTTTGTTTAGGGGCTTTCTCACAACATATTGGTGGACATCATCTTCTTTAGAGAGATTGAAAAGTTTGCGGATTCTGGTAGCTCTTTGGAGCCCCAGACAGCGAGGCACAGTAGTATCAGTGAGTCTAGGAATATCCTTCTCCCCTTTTTTTTCGATGACCAAATTGAGAATGCTCAGATTGGCATCTACAACGCAACCCCGTGCAGATTTGCCCTTTCTTTCTCCAGTCCTCCTTTGTCTGTAACAAGAATTCCACTTACTCAGTAGCAGGTGGACTTGGCCATGGGTCAAGACACCCTGTTTCATGGGGAAACCCTGTTTGTCGTTTCCACCACTGATTCGGACCACGTAACACTTCCATTCTTCTCCCAGAGCGTTAGCAGCAACTTCTGTGGCCATATGCGTCTCATAAAAGGTATGAAGTTTTCGTTAATCGTCCACTTCAATGAGTTTCTGGCAGCCAGTGGCCGGGAAAGAGATGTTCAGCTTCATTCTGAAGTGGCTGACCGCCTCTGAGGCGCCACAAAAAAGAGTCTGTATCAATTTTGAGTGAATTTCAGTTTATTTATTTATCTCCACATCATGGATCACATTTTCCTGTTTCTTTACATGCTTGGTAATTTTTTATTAGATGTCAGAATATAGTCAATTTTACTTTGTTGGGTGCTAGATATTTTTGTGTTTCTATAAATCTTCTTGAGCTTAGGCCTGGGAGACAGTTAAGTTAGTTGGAAACAGTTTGATCTTTTTGGTTCTTGCTTTTAAGTCTTGTTAGGTGGGACCAGAGCAGTGCTCATTCTGGGGCTACTTATTCCCTACTCCTGAGGTAATACCCTTTGAGTGCTCTATCCAGCTCCCTTTGAATTATGAGGTGTTCCAGTCTGGCTGGCGGGCACTGGCAGTATTCCAGGCCCTTTGTGAATGCTGGGCACTGTTACCGCTAATCCTTTTGGGTGGTTCTTTCCCTGGCTTTGAGTAGTTTTCTACATGAATGTGCTGATAAGTACTCAGCTGAATACTTGAGAGGATTCTTTACAGATCTCAGAGTTCTGTCCCTGTGCTGCTCTCTTTCTTTGTCATGCTGTCTTATGAACTCTCGCTGCCTTGGTTTCTCTGAACTCTTAGCATCCATCTCCTCAACTCAGGGAGTCTGTTGGGCTTTGCCTGGGTTGTTTCTCCCTGTGCCATGGCCTGAAAACTCTCTCATGGAAGGAGCAATTTTAGCACTCACCTCATTTATTTTCTGTTTTTAAGGGGATTGCTGTCCTTTGTTTTCTGATATCCAGTGCCTTGCAAATGGTTGTTTCATACATTTTGTCCATGTTGTGGTTGTTTCAGATGGATGGTAGATTTTTTTCCTATTACTCTATCACGGCTGGAAATGGAAGAAATTTTAAATGATTGTTCTTAGTAAACTTCTGTGCATTTTGAGACTCATTAATTTAGAATGTGGTATATTTCCCTAAGGAGAGATTACAAAGAGTGGCACTCAGTACCTAGTGAACTGAAAGTATTTAGTGGCAGGATCTTGGCCTGTGGCCTCAGAAACTTTGCCTATCCACTCGGAATGAATCGTCATCTCTCAGAGTCAGGGACATGTCAGCCTGAGTTACAAGCACTGAAAAGTAATGCTAGAATGCTAGCCTATTATATTGTAATGAGAAATGTTAACTGTCTTAGGACTGATTGATGTTCATGTCTTGTGTCCAGTAGAATCTTTTCATATAGGTAAACTACACTTGAACTAAGTGGCAATTGAATGATTTCTTGGTGTTGAATCCGAATTTAGATGAAGATAATCTGATGCATCTACCTATATTCACTATGCTGTCTCCCTATTCCAGATTGTTCTTATATACACACTGATTATATTTGCCTCTCTGGCTAGCCCCATTTGGATTTCATACCTTCTTCAGATATTTTAATCCTAAAGTAGACAGATTAATACCTAAATCATTTCTGGATGGCATGAAATTTATATATATATATATTTTTTTAAATTTTATTTTTTGGCTGCTTTGGGTCTTCATTGCTGCATGCGGGCTTTCTCTAGCTGTGGCAAGTGGGGGCTACTCTTTGTTGCGGTGCACGGGCTTCTCATTGCAGTGGCTTCTCTTGTTGTGCAGCATGGGCTCTAGGTGCGCAGGCTTCAGTAGTTGCAGCATGCGGGCTCAGTAGTTGTTGCACGTGGGCCCTAGAGCACGCGGGCTTCAGTAGTTGTGGTGTGTGAGCTTAGTTGCTCTGCAGCATGTGGAATCTTCCCAGACCATGGATCAAAACTGTGTCCCCTGCATTGGCAGGCGGATTCTTAACCACTGCGCCACCAGGGAAGTCCATCTATCTATCTATCTATATCTATATCTATATATCTACCTGTCTTTAATGTGACTTTTCACATCTCTTCTTTGAACTTTTATTTGTTGATTCTTGCCTCAAAGCCTAACTTTGAGAGCAATCTTACTTCCTCTTTATCCACGTACTTTTGTGCATTCCATCTCACATTGCATTTCCCTGATGATTAGTGGTGGTGAGCATTTTTTAATATACCTGTTGGCCGTTTGTATGTCTTATTTTGAGAAATATCTATTTGGTCTTTTGCCCATTTTAAAATCAGATATTTGTTTTCTTGCTATTGAGCTGTCTGAGTTTCTTATATATTTTTGTATATTAACTCCTTATTGGCTATATGGATATATATTTTTCCATTTCATAGATTGCCTCTTCACACAATTGATTGTTTCCTTTGCTGTGCAGAGCTTTAAAAAAATTTTTTTTATTGAATAAAAGACTTTAAATTCTACAACGCTTTACAATTTTCAGAAGTTTCACACACATGATTTCATATAATCCCATAATGACCTTTTTTTTTTTTTCCCTGCAGAAGCTTTTTAGTTTGATGAAATCCCTTTTGTCTATTTTAATATTGTTGCCTGTGCTTTTGAGGTCATATCCAGAAAAATCATTGAGCTTTTCCCTATGTTTTCTTCCAATAATTTTGCAGTTTCAGTTCTTATGTTTAAGTCTTTAGTCCATTTTGAATTGATTTTTGCACATGGTATGAGATAGGGGTTCATTTTCATTTCTCTGCATGTGGATATCAAGTTTTCCCAACACCATTTTTTGAAGAGACTGTACCATCTTGCATTGTGTGTTCTTGGTACCTTTGTCAAAGATGAGTTGACTGTAAATGCAGAGTTTTATTTCTTGGCTCCCTATTCTGTTCCATTGGTCTAGATGTTTGTTTTTTATGCCAGTTCCATGCTGTTTTGATTAGTATAGTTTTGTAGTATATTTTGAAATCAGGCAGTATGATGCTTCCAGCTTTGTTCTTTTTGCTCAAGATTGCTTTGGCTATTCGGAGTCTTGTGGGTTCATATGAATTTACACATTTTTTTCCTATTTCTGTGAAAAATGTCATTGGAATTTTGATAGGGATTTGAATCTGTAGATCACCTTGGGTAGTAGGGACATTTTAATAATATTCTTCTTATCCATGAACATGGAATATATTTCCATTTATTTGTGCTCTTCAGTTTCTTTCACCAATGTTTTATAGTTTTTGATGCACAGATCTTCACCTCCTTGATTAAACTTATATGAGTGTTTTTGAACTGCTGAATAGCTAATATCATTTGGTAAAAGATGGGGCAAAAACTGTTAGAGTCTACAAAATATCAGAAATATGGTCATAGGAAAAAAAAGTGAATGAAGATTAGCCAATCTTTTTTTTTTTTAATTTAAAAAAAAATTAATTTATTTTGTTTATTTATTTTAGGCTCTGTTGTGTCTTCGTTGCTGTATGCGGGCTTTTTGTAGTTGCGGTGAGCGGGAGCTACTCTTCGTTGAAGTGTGCAGGCTTCTCATTGTGGTGGCTTCTTTTGTTGAGGAGCACAGGCTCTAGGCATGTGGACTTCAGTATTTGTGGTACACAGGTTCAGTAGTCATGGCTCATGGGCTCTAGAGCATAGGCTCAGTAGTTGTGGTGCACGGGCTTAGTTGCTCCATGGCATGTGGGATCTTCTTGGACCAGGACTTGAACCTGTGTCCTCTGCATTGGCAGGCAGATTCTTAACCACTGCGCCATCAAGGAAGCCCAAGGTTAGCCAATCTTTATGCCTGCATTGTTGTAAAGCATTTCTTAATTGTATTGATATGACAGTGACTAAATTTCTGTTTGTAGCAACTAAATTGATCATAAGTTTTCCTTTGCAGGTGGATTGGACTCTAAATATTGGAGAGCAAGCCCTTGATATATGTATTGTCTCTTTCAATCAGTCAGCATCTTCTGTTTTTGTTCTTGGTGAGAGAAACTTTTTTTGCCTTAAGGATAATGGACAAATTCGATTTATGAAGAAACTTGATTGTAGCCCAAGTTGTTTTCTCCCATATTGCTCAGGTGTGTAGAAAGATTTTCTTGTATCTCTTCCATATGTCATGACTATATTTTATACACCAAAAAAAGCCCAATTCACATATATTTTTAAACATTTAGGAAAATAGTTTTATAAAGCACATGTAATGGAAATTTTAACTTTTAAAGTTTGAATAGAAGTGTGATATAAAGCACACATTTGGTTTTGTCAGTTATTTTACTTCATACAAAATGACTTGTAGAATTGGCCTCAGGTATGCATTAATGCTTTCCAAGATGTGGCTGTTCAAGATGCTTCTAAGAGAACATCAGACTTTTTTACAAGCAGAATGGAGCATAGTAATGCCTAATAGAATTATTTGTCTGTAGTGAATGTTAGTAAATATTAGCTTAAATGTGTTAAATATTAATCAAGTTCATGCTTTCTAGATAAAATACAAAAATGTTGGCCACTATCTAGTTATAGTTTTTATAGTTATATATATTTATAAAATGATTTTTTCTTTTTGATATTGGTAGCTTGTAGTTGAAAAATAATGTTTTATTACTTAAAATCTTTATGCATTAAGTCAAGACATTAGAATTAATTTGTATCATAAATCCTCTAAAAGGGATATAATATATTGTTGGAAATTATTGTTTTCTTATTATCCTCTTTTTCTATCTTCAACCTATAGTTTCTGAAGGAACAATAAATACTTTGATTGGAAACCATAATAACATGTTGCATGTTTATCAGGATGTGACATTGAAGTGGGCCACTCAACTTCCCCACATTCCTGTAGCAGTAAGAGTGGGCTGTTTACAGTAAGTGGTTTAATTTAACAGTTTTTTAAAAAGAGTATCTTAAGGAATTCACTAGAAGTTTTATGGCAAATGATTTTATTAAAAATGACAAGTGACATTGAATGTCTGCAATGGAGATAATTTAAAATATAAATTTTATTGGTAAAGAAGGATATAAAAAACCCTTAATTAGCACTTTTAATCATTTTTATCTAGTATATCTAACAAGATATTCTTTATAAATTCAAGATTTCAAGAAAATAGTTTACCTGATAGATTATTTTCTTTAAAATAGAAAAGGATTTCTTCAAGCAGTTAATGGATCCCATTTAGAGATCACTTATTGTTGACTGTGAGAATGTTACACTTCAAAATTTGTTTCAGAACTTATTATGTCAAACGGTGCAGAATTGCTAATAATTATGTGTTCAGGACAGTTTAGATTTTAAATAGAGCCTTTTTGCATTTAAATGAAAGACAAAGTTCATGTGTTAACATTAACTTTACAAAATTTATCAAAAATGAGAGAAATAGATATCTGTGTAATTTTTCTAGTTTGTCAGTATATGAGGCAAGATCTTGACAAACTCTTTAGCATCTTGGATTATGTTTAGGAATTGAAAATCTCAATAAATGTATAGAAACACAACTTTCTATAAAGCTTCATGTATCCCCAGATCTATTCAATTCTGCTTATTTAGATCATTTTATTGAACATTTAAAAACAGTATGTAGAGTTCTTCAGTGATGCCTATAGTATCTGATCAATGTGGCTAATTCCCCCAATTTAAGAGGTTGAATGTGGATTATTATTGTTGAGGCTCAATGAAAGGCATTCATATTTGCATTAATGGTTAATCTGAAGCTTAGATGTTGGAAAAATGAAAACAATGAATATTTTAAAACGAAATTGCTTTTCATATTTATGAGAAAATACTATAATTATAATACTATAATTATAGTTGCTGGGCACTTAACACAAATTACAGTTATTTTGTATCTGAAGAAAAATTTAAAATTTTGAGTTAGCTTTTGCAAAGTCCACCAGATGGTCTTTTAAGTTCAACCAAACACTCAGACTCACCATACATTTTATATCGGATTTACTTATAAGGATTTAGAACAGGAAAAATATCTTGCCAGCAGGGCAACATCAAGTAATTCTCTTTCGGGAGAGTAATTCTTGCAGCGGTCCATATATCCATCCAAGAGCTGTTCTCTTTGGCCCCCCAAGTGACAGCTTAGGTGCAAGAAGACAGATTCACACTGGTGGGTATGCAGCCCATCTTGGCTTAGAGTCTTCATGCCCCTCAGGAGCCAGTATCTTTAAATACTAAAAAGTCATTGTGGTTTTTGTATGTATGTGGGGCATGGGAGAGTGATAGATAGAAAGAACTTATTGAAATCATTTAGTTGAAATACTTATATTACAGATATATTATTTACAAGGGATATATCTATTTTAAGAGTCACCATACTCATAGAGAAGCTCAGAGATATGGCTTGCCAGCAGATATTTATGGTTAATTTTTAGTTTCTGGTCCAGATGCAACTTACAAGTCAAGGGGCAAATAGTAACTGAAAGAACCTTGAATAAAAAGTCAAATTTCTATATAGTGTGCAGCAAGGTGCTTATATTCAAAATTAGCCTGACACACCTAAATTTAGGTACTTGTAAGTGAAACTTCCTATTTCTCATAAAGATCATAATTATAAATAAGTGCAAATATTACCATTAATGATTTCCACGGTTAACATATAGCAATAATTTCTAATTATTCATTGGAAGATTTTTCTTATTTTTATGCACTTTAACATAAAAATATAGGAATACAGTGTTTGAAATAATTTCATTGTAACTTTTAGTAGAGTCAAACAAATTTATTACTGACTTAACTATAGCATATTTTTATTTAGAAATTAATATTTGAAGTTAGAGCACTGAAATAATGTCACTCCTGCTTTTTATTACCTTTAGGGTTAAACTTTTTTGGTAGAAGCTTCCTTGGCTGCATGTGTTTATTTGTAAAGGAAATTGCTGCTATTTTAATATGTTTCTTTTCAATGAATAAGAAATATTGGATTTGGATCAAGTTGGTGCAATTATACTTAATAGCAACATTTTCTTCAGAAACTACGATGCTTTATTTCCTCCCACTCCCTCCTAGTTGGCAGTCCTAGTCCTCTCTACCTTGTTTATTATAAACCAGTTTTAAATCTGTCTGGGTTTCCTTCTTTCTTTTCAGGGTAAACGGCATTCTTGATTAGAATTTTTTTAGTCTAATTATTTTAATTTTTGTGTGTTAGACTATAGAAATGTGAAATAAATATACAGTTTACAGAATCAGAAGAGCCCGAATGTGATAATGTTCTTTAAATTCTTAGCTATTACTGTTTTCCTCTCATTGCACAAAGTAGCTATGGAAGCCTGGCGGAGTATCTTACCTCTGCTATAGTTAGTTTCCCAAACGGCAAATAAAGATCATTGTTTATTGGTAACGTTATTCTCTCTAGAGATATGAAATATACCTAAAAGTAGAAGTCTATTTGAATGGACATTCAAAGTGATGGGAGCCTTTCCAAACTTTAGCTGGCAGCCACAGCCATTGTACTTTAAAATCTTGTTACAGCTCATTTTTTAGTATAAACAATTTGCTCTAGGACTATGGTGTTTTTCTTCCTAGGCTATATTCACTATAGTAACTTTTATTAACTGTCAGTATTTAATATTTTATTCTTTAGTCTTCACTGATATAGTATTCTTGACCAGAGTGTTCTCCCCATTTCTTCTCTGGATTTTCAGATTTCTTCCATCTTCGAGTCCTAACAAGTCACATAAATAAGCCTTCCCTCTCTACCCTGATCTCCTTCTTTGAATTTCTATAATATTTATAGTATGTTGGTGACTGTTCTTTGCTTTTTCTAACTCCCCAATTTGATCATACACTGTTTTAATGTAAGTACCTGTTCTACTTTGCATATCACATTGAATAATCAGTCAGAAAGCTGAACATATGGTATATGCTCGGTAGATACATGAAAATCATTGTGGTTTGTGTGTGTCAGGGTGAGGGGTGGCTAGAAAGACCTCATAAGAGCCTTTAAAGTTTTTTTTAAATATGAAAAAATTGAGACTCATAGATGGAAGGATATTGTTTCTTTGAAGACATATTTATTAAGAGAGTTTTTAAATTTCAAAGTGACTTTTTCTTTTTTTTTAGTTTAACGTTTGCTGTTAATTTGTCTTTTTTTTCTTTGTGCTTTGTAGAAAGAGAATGTTGGCCTATATACACTTTCTGCTATGTTATATTTTTAAGGGTTTCCTTTGTGGCTTAATACTCCCCATAATATTTGTAAATATTCTTGGAAGTAGGGTAGAGCATAAATTATGATTTTCAGAGCTTGTGCATTCTTACTGATATTTTCCTCTGTTAATCTGTTAATCAGCAGTGGAATGTTTGTCTTTCATTACTATACTTTTCTGTCAATTTTTTGTTGAATATCTATTTTTGATTTATATATTCTAGTGCTAATTATTCAACTTATGTTTATGATAGTTATTTTATTTTATTTTTTTGGTTAGTTTAAAACTTTTTGCCAGTATAAAGTGACCTTTTCTTGTGCTTTCATTTAATGTTTTCTTGCTTCTTTGTTTTGTTTTGTTTGCTTTGAGTTCACTTTGTTATTAATTATTGGTATGCTATTGTCTATGCTTTTTTAACCTGTAACTTTATTTTGGGTGTATTTCTTATAAAAATAATTTGATTGGATTTTTAAACCCATTTTGGAAACCCATTTAAAATTATTATATTTGATGTATTTTGTCAATTTTCAGCTTCTTTGATATTCTCTACTTTTTATACTATTTTCTTTGGTTTCCATTTCTTGTATGTGAGCTGTGGTTTCTTTGCACTTGGAATTCTTCCATGTATTAGATGTTACATACACATACATATCTGTTTTCTTTATTTTACCATACAATATAACACCCTATACCATTCTGGGGAATATTAAATCAGCCTACTGAGGGATGAAGCACAATTAATAAGTTAAAAAATTATAATTCATGATATAAAAAGATTCACAATCTTTAACAGATATAGAAAAATACATTAAAATCACTGTATGATCATATTGCCTAGATAAAAAGTGAATGCAAATTTTAGAAACATTCTTGAAAAAAGCATTAGAATAGTTTACAATAATAATTTATAGCTGATAAAAATACATGACAGAAAAATATTGTACAATGATAAATTTTTATTGTATTGCCGTGGGCCTGGGTTCAATCCCTGGTCGGGGAACTAAGATCCTGTAAGCCACATGGCATGACTGGAAAAAAAAAAAAGATAAAACTCAAGCATTATTTAAAGTTACCTCAATCTTACCATCCAGAATTGACATTTGTTAGCACCTGTTAAACATCAAGCCTGATGTTTTTGTCTACAGATATGCCAATTAGGCACAGGATAAAATTTACAAAGCAGAATCATATGTTTTTTATATATGTTTATTTTATGTTCTAAGAGAAAAAAGAAATAGATAAAATGGAAGGAATGAATGAATTTTACATAGATATTTATTCACAACAATGTGTTTCAGTTTCTAAAAGACCCCTCTAAGTATAGAAAAAAAGTAAAAGGTTGATATTTTCAATTTTTTAAAGTGGCATTTCAACTTTTGGCAGTGTCCATTGACTCCTGTTATAAAAGATAAGGAAAACAGCAACTTATGCTTTCTTCTTCCTCTCTTCTTACCAAGTTCTGACATTGTTGGTATCTTACTATTATTTATTTTGTCAAAGTTTAAAACATTTACATACATTTTACTAATCACTATTTTTAGTCCTTTATTCTATCCTCTTAAAGCTCACCGCCAGTTCTTTTACTGTTTCTGAATTATCTTGATTTACTTCTTGGTTAGTTGAATTCAATCATCCAGTAGATTTGACGAAAGCCTTATAAGTCTTCTTGCAATCTTGAGAATTGTTTATTGCTTTTATACTTGAAGGTTATCTTAGC